TTTAGATTGGATATTAGGAAAAATACCTTAATGGAAAGGGCTGTCAGGCACTGAACAGGCTGCCCAGGGAGGTGGTGGAGTCACCATCCCTGGGGGTATTGGAGAGGCGTGTGGACAAGGTGCTTAGGGACACGGTTTAGTGGTGGCATTAGCAGTGCTGGGTCAATGGCTGGACTTGATCTTACAGGTCTTTTCCAACCTAAAGAGTCTATGATTCATTCCAGGAGCACTAACTTTCTTCATATAAAGTTTGCAAGAAACTACATGGCACCACAGACGTGCTTCCAGGTCAATTCATGGAGGAGTCTGTGGTGCTTTAAATTACCCGGACTCTTAATTTTGTGGGTTTCTCTCTCTTCTCAGGACCAAGCTGTGTTGGCTATAGAAGATGATAAATACCATTTTGACACCAGGCCTGGATTTCAAAAGCTACTTCTTTGGGTAAGACCTCATCGGTTTATAAATTTTGGACTTAAAGGGTGAATTTGAGTTAAAACCAGTACAGATAAAGTAAGATTTCTACTGCTGTCTCTACCACTTCGCATATAAAAATGTTTATATTCTTCTGGCGCTGTTTGCATAGTAGCTTACCAGACAAATTAAACCCACTAAGGCTCATACACTTCTTATTTTGCAGCTCAGCTGCGCAACCTCAGCATTGCAGGGATGGAAGCATTTGCACTCTTCCCGAAGAAGCCGAGCGATGCTGAATTAGCACTGACGTGTCTAAAGCTGCTGACACACAGCGGTGGCAGACCATGAGAACTGCCCCCGGCAAGTTTCCACATGGTGGATTTCAAAGCCCCAGTCAGGCCTTGGTTAACAAAGGTCCCCAAAAGCTCTCCTCCGTCCCCATCTATAACCAAGCCAGCAGTTCTGCAGCCACAATGAGAGTTAAGGCAAGTTTCTAACTCTCTGGTTAAAGAAATATTTGGGAATTAGGGCAAACATGGCCTCTCCTAAACAAACATGGTTTTAATTCACCACTGAGTAATACTGCAAGCAGTAACAGAAGCAGAAAATGCAGAATAAGACAGAACGAGCATTCTTAATTAGAGCAGCATCTAGCCTTTGTGGGAGGAAGCAATCAGACCTCTGGTAGCAATTACAGTTTTTTTACTATACTAAGCTTTATTTCAATTGTGACCCTGCTGTTGCTAAGATGGTGCTCTCAAACTACCTCACATACATGCTGTAGTAAAGAACAACAGGTTCACCCAATTTACACGGCCACATGTTTCTCTAAAGTTTAATATATGATTAGGCTGATATTAAAAAAAAATAAAAGCATCCACATTGCTCAACCAAGCCTGTGAATAACTTCCCTAGTCTCATGATAGGTGATACGGGGATAAAAGGTTTATTTCCTTTCCTGTTTGCAATTGATGCCTCGGATGTCAGAGCAAGTCTGTTCTTCAGAGCAGCGCCCAAAATCAGCATCAAGGAAACAAGCTGGGCCAAAGGCCATTCCCCGCCAAAAGATTAAACTCATCCGTCAGTGAGGGAAGGTAGAGTAGAAGAAGCAACAGGATTACAAGTCAGAAGTGAAAATACCCTGAAAGGCACTGGCTATTTATACAGCAAAGATGGGAAAGCAAAACAGCATTTCTGTTTTGACACGGATGCAGCTTTGAACACCACTAGATCAAATCCAGCATGAAGTTCCCAGCACCAGTATCACTGGAAACATGGACCCGGTTAAAAATGGATCAGAAGGAATTAGAAAAAGACATTGCACACACCATTTTCAAATCAACCCCTGAGGTAATCACTTTACATACATCTGTGATTTAGTTACAGATGTAACCATTAATGACATGATCATGTAAACACCAGTGAGGTAACACCCTTAGGCTGACATCATCATAAGCTGCCCAAAACCACTGTTTTAGAAGTTAATCCTTCAGACAGGGAAACCTCTCACCTATAAAAGCTCAAGGCCTTATAAAACAGTCAATGTATTTGGCACTCCTGGGGGACTCTGAAAACTCAGGAAGCCGTACATCTTAAGAGGGCAATCAAAGTTAACCAAGAATGAATTTATAGCAAATATGTATTTTGAACACAAAGAATAGTTACTGGGGATGTATTTTCAGCAATCTAGGGTAGCTAAATATTTTGAAATCTATGAAAGTGTTAGCATAGGTTTAAGGCAAAGTTCAGAAAGAAGTTTTGAAGACCTGATTAAAACTATTAATAGGAAATAGTGCTGTGATCAGAATGGGTCACATTCATAAAGTTATTCATGAGGTGCCCAACACTATGGAGAAATGAGTTAAGCACTCTAAAAATGCTATAAAACTTGTTAGAATGAACTGGTCATTAGAACAACCAACTAGCATTGGGATTTTTCTTTAAGCCTGGATTTCCACTGTGTTGTCCTAAAGATTTTCCTACTTTATAACAGTTTGTCATCAGTTTCCCAATTAACCAACTAGGAAGTCAAGTGTTCACACTGTAAAGTTTCTGAACATTAATTCCAGTATTAGTACAAGTTCTTTGCTCGAATTTTGTGCATTCCATAATAATCTGCACAGACTATCTGATGTAGTCAAAAGCAGTTCAAATTCATATTCCTGGAAAAATTTTATCTCGGAAGATGAATTCTTCTGCTACAGAGCGTAGCACTGTGCAGTAATGACTCGGACATTTAGAGCAACTGAGATGTTCAGAAACTGACTCGGAACCACCTGGCTAGTGGATAGGCACAAGCTAGCGGGCATTGCCACTTGTTCCCATTTCTAAGGCCACCAAGTTCAGAAATACACCGTGCCCCTGCACGGCACTACTACAACAGTATCCAAATTACCATTACTTTAATTTTTTTCTCCAGGATTCTATTTTTGTGTATCGATAGTTTATGACTGTCTGGAACTTAGCAAAAACATCTCCTTGAAGAGTGGAAGGCAGCTGGAGTGATCAAAACGGTCTCTTCCCGAGCATGCTTACTGCAATTTGGCGAGAGGGACACCCAAATACATTTCCAAATAGATACTGCAAGATAAACTAATGTACATTGGAATTGTGCCTAAATGCCTATACATTCCATATTAACTCCAGTTCTGATGTTTTTGTAACAGAGTATACCCCCAACAGTCCGAGATAGGAGATATTTCACACTTTAACACACATTTTTCAACACTCAATCTTCAAAGCACATTTTTACTTAGGCCTGTCGAAAATGGCGTAAGCCAAACCTTTTTCTGAATGCAGCCACTTATGAGAAGTAGCAGTGGTAACACATTCTGCATTTTGACTCAAAGAATGAAATAACTGAATCAGTACCGTCACTGCAAGATGAAAGTCCTCAGAAAAGGCTGACTTTAATCGAATTGGAAGAAGGTAATCAGCTTCCAACTTTACCTGAAACAGTTTAAGCTGTATCTGCTTCAATAAAATGGTTAGAAAGGAAACACTTCCCAACCCTCATTAGCACCACCATGTAGGTTTTAATTCGAGACGATGCTAGTAGGAAATGCTGCAGGTACTCCCCACCTCCTCTCCCGTTTCATGACCACATACCATCGTCACTGACAGGAAAAGCTGTATCAGAGCAGTCCCACAGCTGCCATCACCACAGGTCACATGCTTGTCTGCCTTCGAGCAGGCAGGAGGGCGAGAGGTGCCAGCGTGGGCCTGGTGTACCTCGCACACCGCAGCATCAGAAAGGCACCCTGGCTCAAACAAACAGAAGCACTGCTACGAGTAACTAGGCCAGTCTGATTACTCAGTCTCACCTCACCAGGAATAGCTGCTAACCTCTCAGCACACCACCATGCCGTGCCACCTGGGTGCAACCAGAATTAAGAAGAGAGTCAGGCTGGTTTCATCTCGTTGATTTTATTTTACATACTAGTAACACATATTGACACAGCTGATACCAGAGTAAACCCTTCATGGGACTAGTAAGTGCCAGAATGCAAGTTATGGAACAGAAGATCAGCACAGCATCTGATTAAAACAAGTTAAATATCAATGCTGTGAAAACTCATGGTATTGGGCTTCCCTCAAAAAATTATCTTAGGAGAGGCCTAAAGCTCACAAGCTTCCCAAAACACAGGAAAAGCCATGTCATACCCTCAGTGAATCCATCAGGACTTAATTCCATGAAGACTTTTTGCAAATTCAGTGTTTAAATCTACATATTTCATATTCTTTACTGTAAGAGAGCACAGCAAGCTTGTCTATTCTACACACATTGTTTCACTCTTTCGGGGCAAATTACGATCACAATTTCTGCTAGCTTTGAGCAGCTATTTCAACCAAGATATATACATAAACATGTAAACAAAATGCCTAAGCTTAAATGGCTTAAAGCAATTCCATGGAAGTATCCCAATTCAGCTTTTTGTGCTCTTTACTTCAGAATCCAAAGTGCCAAATACAAGCAGCAAAAGTTTCCACTACTGCAGTTTAAAATGAAATCATGATCCCATTTACTTGTGTGAATTTATAGAAGTCATTTAAAGCCACAATTCCAATTAATTCAAAAGGGCTGAAAACAGGAATAATACATTTATGGTAATGGCACAGCTTGCATTGCCAACAGTCTCAAAACTAGTTTTTAAACTGTTATCAACAAGGAATGTACACAGGTTGACAAATTAAGGTATAACTCAAAAACCAGACAACTACTGCACTGATCCAAATTTGTTAATGCATAATCATATTTGAAAATATACAAAACCTGAAGTTATTACATGAAATTAAAACCTGGTTTTAAAAAGTGCACAGTAAAAACTGAAGGTAATTACTATATAAATTATCCACAGAGTGTGTATTTCCTGGTTTAGAGCCAACATTAAGTTCTGGTTTATCTGTTACAAGTTCTAAATATTTTAAAGCCATGTACAGCACCAAATCAGGTTTTTTTACCAGACCCAATACCACCCTCCGCTTCCTGGAACAAACAGGAATTGGACAACGAATGTTCACTATCTGCATCCTGTGCAGCAGCAGCTTCCGAAGACAGTTGATTAGCTGTAAGCTATCGATTTTTGTTCTTTTTAGAGTTTCCCTGCAACAAGAAACAAGCGAACAGAATATACAATTCCGCTACGAAAATCGAGACAGATATTATATAAAATCTGTTGTCTGATAATTTATGCCTACAGCAAACAAAGTACAGTCAAAAAACAGTCCATAGGCTTTGAATAATGGAAGCTTGTAACTGTTTGCTCTGAAAAATCCCTCTATCTTTACAGGCATAACAGAGCAAATATCAGATATTTCAAATATGTACAACAGCACCTTACTTCAACTGAAACCCGTGGAAAAGAGACATTTGAATTACGACCCAGGACACTCAATTGGATTAACACCACTAATATTGTAAAGGGCAGTGAAGGCAGGTGAAGTCATAATTCAACCTTAAACTATTTCAGGTGTAAGTCTTACAGGATAATTGCCTTAAATTAAAAATCAATCCTCCACCCATCATTTTGTTCCAAAACAAATTTTGCTTTAACTTGGTCTACACAGAATATTCCTAGTTTAGAAAACAAGAAAACAATTTGTCCAACTCTCATTTGACTCGTGACAATTCCACAATGCAAACGTTTAGCTTAAAATAAACTTCTGTGCAATGGTTAACTTGCTGGCAATTCCCTGACTTCCTATTTTCTTAACATAACATTCGTTTTTCACCTAACCAACAACTCCCTCCAGGTGATAATGGCTTTAACGGCATCCTTTTGACTTCAACTGCGCAGCCTTCTGCAGTCGGTAACACTCAGGATCTGTGCCTACGGCTGTGAGATTCTGAACCACCTCCTTGCAGACAGAGGACCACTTCAAGTCTTAGTGGCATGACAAGGGAGAAATTCCAGAAGGCGTTTTATAGAAACATGCAGTGCTATGGTCAGTATGCAGCCAAGAGCTTCCCTCGGAAAACACAAGAGCTTATACACTTATAAAAGTAACTTTAAAGACTTCAGTGCCAAGTCAAACCACTCAGGCACCTGAAGAAACACAGTTCTATACATGGGGGGCGGGGGAGGAGAGCTTACTCTCAAAAATAAAAATCACCATCTAGGGACTTTTAATCAAAACATGGATTTTACTTTTCTTTTTTAACCCTTCAGTGAAACCTGCTTCCTTGCAATCTGCAATTAAAGAGAATAACCCTCGTTTATTAGTTTCACAGCCAGCTGAGTGAAGGGTGAAGGCCTTCACAACATCTGTTTCCCCCTAGAACTGTCAGAATGAGACAGACTGTGGTTTAATCACTGACTGCTCAGAAGCTGCAGACGTCTGTGTTTTTCATCATTAATATTCAGGTTAGGCCGAAATTTGTTCCTGATAAATGGGTAGACTCCTTGCTTGGAAAAGAATTTAAGTGTGCATTTGAAGTTCACAGAAGAATATAAGCAGCAACTTTTTTCATTCCTACACCCGAGAGAGAGAAGCTAGAATATGGAAGTAAAACAGAGAAAAAGAATAGCTGCCAAGTACAGAGTGTGGTGAAACCCAGAGAGGAGTGCAGAAAGGACGCTCCTCCCACAAACACCCGGTGTCACTACCTGCATTTGCAAACAGCTCCATTTTCACCACACATAAATAAGAGAAAAGGTGCTGCTCTTCCGGAGGGTACACTTTGAGAGCCTGCTATGAAGGAGTGACAAAGTATTTGTTCCTTCCCACATCCATGTTTTGCAAGAATTACTCCTTCACTGAAACACAGTGAGCAGGTTTGGAGTTTTCTTTCCAGCGGGGCGAGAGTGGGAAGTACAGCCTGTGAGTTGGTCTGAGGGCAGGAAATAAGAGAAAAGGTGCTGCTCTTCCGGAGGGTACACTTTGAGAGCCTGCTATGAAGGAGTGACAAAGTATTTGTTCCTTCCCACATCCATGTTTTGCAAGAATTACTCCTTCACTGAAACACAGTGAGCAGGTTTGGAGTTTTCTTTCCAGCGGGGCGAGAGTGGGAAGTACAGCCTGTGAGTTGGTCTGAGGGCAGGAATACCCGATGCCACCACCTGGCAACTCACCTTACTGGTCATCTTCAGCGTATCGATTTCTTCCCTTTGTTTAGTTAAGGTTTCATTCATGCTGCAGAGATGGTCACTCATCATACTTAACTGGTCCTCGTAACTTCTCTTTGTCGTCATCAATTCGTCCTGGGAGGGGGAAAAATAACCAGAAGCCTTTGCTCAGTATCAGTGACACCTGGCAAAGCAGCCAACTTCCATCCCCGCTTAGTAAGCTAAAGTTTTGATGCTGAATGTGTGCACTTAACCTAAGCCATTGGGGAAAAAAAATAATCACTTTATGAAAGGAAAGTCAACAGCTATCTTTCTTTTACCTCAAGTCTCACGCACGGATGTTCCCCTTACCTTTGCTCTGTTTCCTTTATGATTTTCCCCCCCGCTATTTCTGGCTTACAGCTAAGTTTTCCAACGCTCCTTCCCGCCAAGAAACAAGTAAAGTTCACAGCTTAGAGCATGGCCCCTACATGAACGCACGTGGCCTTCATATAAAGCTGAAGGAATCAGCAATCCACATGGAGTTGCAGAGCTGTGATCTCTCTGGGATTAGGCAGACATGGTGGGATAGTGTGCATGACCAGGACACAGTAATGACACAGACGCTGTCGGAAGGACAGAAGGGGAGAAATCAGGCTTTACATAAAGGGCTGGTTTGAGGCCAATTAAGACCTCCTGGGTAGGGATCACAGGATAGCAACAAGGGTGATACGGCAAGCATCTGCTACAAGACGATCAATATCTCTCAACCCCAGACCCTGATCCTCAAGAGGGATTTTGTCTACTCTGACATGTCCCGGGAGAGCAACCAGGTGGAACACGAGCAATTCAGGAATTGCCTTGAATATGGTGAAGAACTTCTTGATATCAGTATCAATAGGCCTAAGAGATGCTCTCTGCTGAGGTCAGGGCTGACCCTGTTCCAAAAAAGGAAAAGCTGGTCAGGGATGTGAAAGCCAATGGTAGCCTTGGCTGCAGCAACCATGAGTTAGTGGAATTTAAGATCCTGAGGGAAACAAGCAAGATGAATAGAAGTACAGCAACCCAAGATTTAAGAAGAGTAGATTTTAGCTTTTTCAAGGTCTGCTTGGCAAGATCCCAGGTGAAACTGCCCTGGAAATTAAAGGGGCCCAGGAAAGCGGAATAATCAAGGACAGAGCAAAGAACAGTCCAGTGCTGAGGAAGTGGAGCAATTGTGGCAGAAGGCCAGGATGGCTGTACAGGAAACCCTCGATGCAACAGCTCGATTCAAACTCGGTCTGCTTTGACCAAAGGAGGGGACCAGATTCCCTTCAAACGGCCCTTCCAACCCAAGCAGTGCTGCAATTCAGTATTATGCAGACTACTAAACATACAAACGGTGCGCCTGTTACCTTCTCTTAGGAAGTTTAATATGTAATTGGAGATGAACATCCCGTGCTGAGTTGGATATTGATTGTGGAATTTGTTAAAGGAACAAACCAAAGGAGCACTGTGTGCCTTTTAAGTGTACATCATTATTTTCACTGCCTGTAAGGAGCACTTTAGGTACCCACCTCAGACAGGGGAGCAATAAAGATACGAACTAAACACAAAGAAAGCATGAAGGCATTTACAAACTGAGTGTTTCTATATACTTTATTTTACTATTGGCTCCTTTCTCAGCTGCGTGGAGGGGAAGTAGAAAGGGACAGGACATTCACAGGACGTCTGACGTAGGAGTTTATCATCTGTTGTTAACAACAGCTACTTAAAGGCTACCCCAGAATTATTTTTGTTTAGTATCAAGCTAGCCATCTCAAAAAGCACCCTGGCATTTCTAAGGGACTTCCAGTCCCAGGCGCTAGAAAGGATTAAGAATTCAACTTACCATCTGAAATCAGTCACACAACCACATCTTTTGACATGAAAAGAATCCACTTTCATAAAAAGCATTGACATCGAGTGTGCCAAGACACAGGCTTGGTTACTATAACCTTTTCCTTGCAAGCTTATTCAACTTTATACCTGGGATTTGAAGTCTATTATTTGTCTCTTCTCCACACACAGTCAGCGTTTTTAGATCACACAACTAGTGATGTAAAGGCATGACCATGCTCGAAATAGTTTTTCTGCCCCAATTTCCCCCCACATGCAACTACGAAATGCATCTATTACATTATATAACATTTTACTTGCCTGTAATCGACTGATGTTTTGACTGGCTAGTTTCAACTCTTCCGTGAGCGACTCCTTGGATTTCTCTGCTAAAGACAGTCTTTTGGCAAGTGCTCGACACTGTCAATCAGAACAGGATAGCAGGCAGAAGAGAAGAAAGTTAGTTCCAGAGTATTGCCTTGTGCCATCTTTAACTGATTGCTTTGGATGTTTCCCTCTTCCTATAATCCCTAGATTCAGAGCCTGTGCACATCTTTAAATGTGACGGTAATGTAATAGTTAAAACATATTCTGGGAATAGATTTTCATGAAACATTATGTTCCATATATTTAAACTCACTGTCATAACACTTGCCTGTGGGAAGTTCAAAAAGGGATTTACTGGTTTTGGTACAGACACTGCCTGCACGCTCACCTCAGCATGGAAGTGTACCGATTTGCTGTCGGCAAGCTGCAGATGAGACGTGAGTTCTGCTATCCTTGCCATATAGTGGGTTTTTATCAGGTCTTCACGAGACTCGACATCTGGAGCCTGGCAAAGCAAAAATTTAAGAAGACAGGTATTTATGTTTAGTAGATTGAGTATGTGCATCACAGTCAGAACTCTTTCTGATGTTGCATGCTCCAGAAGGTTCTTCAGACACCTGAACTTTAAAAAAGACAACCCACACCTCCCCAGTTTACTGGAAGTGAGAGTAACCCACTAAGGGCAGCTTTCACATGAACAGTCGTTATGTTCAAGCTCGGCGCTGTGCAGTAGCTTTTAAGAACTTGTATCAGTTATTATTACCTGTCTCCCACCTCCTGATTAATCGTACCTTCAGAAGAAAAGGAGGAGTGAACTAAAATACACACCAGTTCCCTGCAGTATTAGAAAAGGCAAAGCACTGGATCTTACTCTGCCAAGTGTTACACAACAGCCACAAGAAGTAAAGAGTTAACGACTGGTCAGGCAGCTGATGAGAGTTTCTTTTGGTGTGACCTCTGGTTTGTGACAGTCTGTACTTAAATGTTAGACACCAGGCACTTCAGTCAGTGACTTTTTTTGCAGCTTGAGCCCTTCCTCGAGAATTAAGAATTGAGGTTTGGAATGCAGTCAGGGTTACTGAAAGTACAAACTGACCAATGCCTTCCTCACATTACAGGGAAGAGGCCTGCACCACAGCTCACACTGCCTTCCAGAAGAAAGTTAAGAAATACATGGATTTATGAAACTTGAACATATAGTATACAGAGGACATGGGTGACTCATGCCATTATACACAGTATGGCTGGTAAATAGACCTTTGGAATAAGTTTAACAGAATTGGAATTGAAGCACTTTGCAGATGTACTTTGATAATGTTTAAAACAGATTACCTTTTCATTATCAGTAGTTACAGTCAACATTCCAATCTAGAACAAGGAAGAAAACACACTGAAGTGAGCACTGCAGAAATAGATACCATAGCTGCAAGTCATTTTGGCTGCAGTCACAGAAGGACTTTAATTAAAAAAAAATATATATATATATAGTAACAGTTAAAACTAAAACCAAATGTAAGCACTTCCACCTGTAACAAACAAGGGTAATAATATACATCCTTGAACAGAATTAAAGCTGACACCAGCCCTCCAAATATATCCTTTGCCTTACAACATACACAAGGAAAAAAAAGCAATAAAAGCAACAAGATGCAACTGCTTGATTACATGAAACTAATTCAGAGGTATGTTAATAAACATGAGAAGTAATGTTGCAGTGTTATAACAGGGAAAGCCAACTTGGATTTATTGAATACCTTCTGAATTCCTTTCTTCCCACTCTGACTAGTAAATTACATGGAGTTCCAGAACTCTAGCAGAGGGATGTACACCAATAACTAGTTTCATGGAAGAGCATCTTCCCACAGAATCAGAGGGGTTTTTTTCTGATCTCAACAGCACTAGAGATTTAGGTTTATGGGAAATATTTATACAATATGTCGACCTATGAGTTACATAAAGCCATTCTCCTAAAGCTCCTAACAGACCAAATACAGGATCAAAAATTTAAGAAGTCAGTTTACTTCAAAACTGGGTATTTCAAAGCAATCCAGTAATCATTTTTATCTTGGCACAAGAAAGCATGGAGGAATAAACAAAGTTCTGTTGAGTGCTGAGCTTGAGTAAATTGATTATTTCTTACAGACAACATCCCTGCTAATACCACTTCAGAAGTGGTAATTCAGAAGAAAGGCCAACACCTTTTAAATACAACTAATAAACAGGAAAAAGCCATTTGCCAACATCCAAGAGCAAGGACAGAACATATGCCATATCCAAAAGCGATTGCTGAACCCAAGTTGTAGGCACCTGGGAAGGTTACGTAAAAATCAGCACTTCAGAGAATGCTAAAAGCTTGAATAGTTTCAAGTTAAAATTAAGCTACAGCGAACTGACCTGTAATAAGCTTAAGAATCCATTTAAAAATACTAATTACCTACTTCTGTTTCTTTTAACATACCCAGAGATGAAAAAAGTAGTGGAAACTCAGAGGCGACCTGAGATGTATACTACCTGCAAGGCTTCCTAACTACAGAGTCAGAAAAAATTCTGCAAGTTAAACACCTATTATTTCCCCCTCAGTCATGTATGAGCAGAACGACAAAAACATCTCCACGATACTAAAGACAGCGAACAAAGTCCCAGAATCCAACAAGTTCCAAACTCTGCAGAAAGTATTAGCAAGCAGCTCTGCAAATACAAGGAGCCCAAGTGTGAATGCATTTCAATACAGCCAAAAAGCTTTCATTGTTAGCTTGCTACTGACCAAACAGTACTCCTGCTACAGAAAACAGATTTTTCCCTACTGAAGGAAAAAGGTCGCTTACCAGACTGGCACTCTTAATAGGTTCCCTCGGACTCTTTTCTGTGGTTTCCTTCTTTTGTTCAGCTACATTTGGCAAAACAGAACGTTCTTGTATAGTTTCAGTTAAATGTCCACTAAGAGAGTTCTTCAGTTTCTGGTTTTCTTTCTCTAGCTTTATTTTAGCCAGCTGGGCCTCCAACATCCAGTGTTCTTTCTCTTGTTCAAGTTTTGAAATTTTCTCCAAACTCTGCTGGACCTTTAGGAGGGAAAGTTTACCGTCCAGGTTATTGAACGCACAGGGAAAAAAGCCACACACAGGAAGTGTTTGCAGACAGTATTATTTTAAACCATTACGTAAGTGAGGTAATGAGTAATGCAGCAGGTAAACTACTGCTTTGAGCTGCACACTTAACTGTGGTCATGTGTCAGAAATGACCACCTTAGTTAATTAGTCTGAAGCATGCATCACAAAGATACAGCTCACAGAACTGGCAACATCATCACGAGGTGTGAAATCAAAGCAGAGAAGAATTTCACCAAGATGTGGAAGATGTGTACCTGGCCCTAGCACTGCTTTGTTCTGTGCTAGAAAGAGCAAACAATACAGAGCCGGTAGTGATAGGACAAGGGGTAATGGGTATAAATTGAAATCAGGGAGGTTTAGATTAGATATCAGGAAGAAATTCTTCACAGAGAGGGTGGTGAGGCACTGGAACAGGTTGCCCAGAGAAGCTGTGGATGCCCCTTCCCTGGATGTCTTCAAGGCCAGGCTGGATGAGGCTTTGAGCAACCTGATCTAGTGGAAGGTGTCCCTGCCCATGGCAGGGGGGTTGGAACTAGATGGTCTGTAAGGTCCCTTCCAACCCAAACCATTCTGTGATTCTATGATTCTCTCCTCCCAGAGCTGCCTCACCTCACACAGACACAGCCACCCACTTGTTCAGATAAGAAATCAGCTATGGAACAGTCCACATTCTCACTCCACGCATTCCTGTTGAAACTGGTCTCATCCCTACAAGTACACTTTGAATATTGGCCACTACAAAAAAACCCCACTGAAGTCATGATGGTGACTCAAGCACAGTCTGAGCATCCAAGTTAATAAAGTTTTAGTATTAATCAGTCAGTCTCATTCATACGAGGAGATAGGCAAACTGTGTAGGCTTTTTAAATACCATTTGACCTCCCTCTGCCTCATCTTCCAGGAAAAAAAAGCACACTGAAAGATTAATTAAACTGTAATCTATTAATACACTCTAACTGGAAAAAATAATTCATTGTTTTTAAACTAGTGCTAATATCCTGTATAGTCCAAAAAAAGCACACAAAACGGTACATAACATGAGAAACAAACACTTCGGTATGCCTTATTCCTGCCCTTATTTTGCATGTGTTTGCATTATTAAAGACTGCCTGACTTCTTGTACTTATAAATCAAGACATCAATGGCATAATGCTGTCTTTTGTAATGACACATATATTCTGCAGGCACAGGAGAACAAGGATAACCCAGCCTAACAAGGAAAAGTTTTGCTTTCAAAACTCTACAAGTAAAACATCTACAGTCTAGTTTTAAGTTTCAGTATATGCACATACAGGAACAAATGACCACACACAAATATGTAGAGACTACTCGCTACTACTTCACCTTTATAAAAATACACTATCGTCTAGGCTAGTAAAATTACCAGAATACCTGTTGTGCAAGACCTTCTCTACTTTCTGTGGAACTCAGAAGAACTCTGCGATTGGCTAAAGCCTCTTCGTAAGGCACGGAATCTGCACAAGGCTGCAAAAGGATAAAGGAAAAACAAAACATGTTTCACAGTACATCAGAGCATGTATTCTACATTTATTTTACCACTTCCCTCTTTACTTTACTAAAGGGAAGAAAAACATATTCCAATGTTCACCATTCACTAGAAAAAAGGTTTCAGCTCACAAAAAAAATACCACCCCAAAATGCACACCTGATTAAATAGAAAACTCCACGTGTTAATGATCAAACACATCTTAAGGTCCACTTTACAGACATTGCAGTGAAGTGATTTAACAACAACTGTTAAGCACAGCATCACCTGTTAACTTTAATGGAGCCAACAGGGAGATATGGCAGTGTTCAGTCCTTTGGTTCAGCCCATTTTCTCCAGCATACCTCCTTTGCAGCTGCTTTTGGGTTTGTTTTTTGTTTTTTAATGTTGCTGTCCACTGTCTTCCAGTGAATACAAATAGAAGAATATGATGTCATTCACTCCATATTCCTGATGAATACGGAAGGAAATTTAAATGGGCAGCAACCCTCCTCTCTCCTTGAAGTCTTGGCATGGAAATAATTAGTGGAAATGGGCAACGGCAGAATTGGCACATACCCTGAGTTGAGAGCAACTACGCTCTCTGAAGTTTTCAACAGCATTATTGCTCTAAGGATTCCCTTCCTCAGCCAAAGATTCCCATTCAAAGAACCTCATCCAAATACTGAAAACCCTTAGTTTGTATTCTCTTTGGCATAATCGGCTACCAACAGCACTGTGTTTTCCCTGTGTAAGCATGCTAGCTGAACAAACCTTCTTCAAAGACTTCATGTAGGCAACCGCCTTTTTCTTGTACTGCAGCATACACTCGGCTGAAAGAGGGCTGATGAACTCTGCTCCTCCCTTCGGGCCATAGCTCAACGAAGTAGTGAAGTGATCCAAGTTGTTGCTAAAGAACGAGGCAATCTAGACACAGCAAGATGAGTGACTTTTTTAATTAAGTTCACCGGAAAGATTTATCGCAGCAATTACTCTTTCAAGAGAAAAACAAGTATTTAGTGAAACTGGGCTTTACAACAAGCATTTCAAACAAACTACAGGCTCTTACACATAACTGTGACCTTACTAACACAAAGCATCTTCACAATATCTACTCGTATCACCCGTTCCAGTTGGTTTTAACTTGCAGCTTGATAATACAGTAGAAAAAGCCTAATACTACAGATTATTAATATCAAAAGCACACATAGATTTTCCAAATCATTCAACTAAGGTATTTAAAAAAAACAAAACACAACGTGCACAAGTTCAGGCATTGTATCAAAACAAAAATATCCATTACCTTGCCCACTCCATTTGTTAAAGCCATAACAGAGGATACGATACAGTCATTTGTAGTTAGGAGTTTCTGTGTGGCAGTTGGAACGTCTTGTTCTAAAGTAGCTTTCTGACTGTAGTGCTTGGAAATATCTAGAAAAAGAAACACGTTTATGTCAAATTACAGTTTTTGTCTATTTCAGCAACCATTTTCTAATTCAACTTATGAATTAGAAAATTCATTTGATGCCTCCTCAGGCTTCAAATGTTTCTCCCCTCCTTAAGTTGTATAAAAGCTTAGTCTGGATACCCTTACTTATTCAGTACACTGCCTTAGACAACTGTTTGTGACCACAGGGAACAGGCATTACATCTGTTACACAAGGGAGAATAAAGGTGCCTATGTGTACACCGTATCCCAAAAATCATAGCTACACAGGGGATCCAAGCTCACACTGAACTAGCACTTCATGCCACAAGTACACTTTCCACTTCCGTATGTTTACATCTGGACACTTAAAAGTAGGATTTTTAGTCATGTTCAACATCTGAGTGTTAAGTGTATATGACTTGTAAGGGGAGAGTATTTTAATTCTGTCAGAGCAAGTCTAAAAGACTAACAGAAGTTTAGAAAGCCACTTCCTATATTCCAAAATTCTTTCAGGCAAAGTTAACAGAGCAGTCTCCAGGGCAGGGGACAACCAAAAAAACCTCACACTTTTCAAAGTCATTCACAAAAACATCTTAGCCTAAATACAGCAATTTCAACAGCACCCAAGCTTAAAAAGACTCAAGTATTTATCACATAAGAACAAACATTCTCAACCTGGCCTAATTAAATATAAGCAATTATCTGATAAGGGAACATTTTGCACATATTCACTGGAACAAGCTGCCCAGAGAGGGGGGAGTCTCCTTCTATGGAGACTTTCAAGAGCCGCCTGGACTTGTTCCTGTGTGATCTACTCCAGGTGATCCTCCTCTGGCAGGGGGGTTGGACTAGATGATCTCCAGAGGTCCCTTCCAAACCCTACCACTCTGTGAACCTGTGTAAAGTACTGTTGCTACAGAATGGGAAAATCCCAGGACATCACAACCAGAAGTTATTATCTGAGGCAAATTTAAATGGTTGGAAAAGAAGGGAGGATAGGAGTGACTAATCAAGTATTCTGGAGTATGGGAGTGAGAGATGTTAAGCACATTTCTGTTGCTAGCTAATGAATTCTGACAGTTTTCTTCAGTACTTTCCTTTGTTAAAGTATACGTTGGCTTGATTTTACGTTATAGTATAGTAAGAGGTAGAAGGTATTTATCAATAAGCTTATCTACGCCACAACTCTTGGTTTAGTGTCTCATTCCGTTTGAGGTACAATCTCCAATATATTTTTTTTTCTTCTTCACACAAGGACCCTACAAAATGGGACCCTGCTACTGATATTATTACCAAAAGAAACAAAAAACCCTATTTTGCATAAAATTGTAAAAACTTAAACAGCAGGCTAGTATTAAAACAATTCACCTATACAGATTTTCTCCCTGGGGACAGCTACGTAGTACAGAAACATCAGTGCTTTAGAACTCCGAGTTTTAACCAAACATCACTTCACTGAAAACGTAACATATCTATTGTTCTGCTGATAAAAGGAAGCTAAGCCATTTTCAAGGAGGAAGTTATGTTTCAAAACGAAAGCGGGCTTCTTCATTCCGTTCTATACACTAGTTCCACTAGAGCAACGAAGTTCAGAAAGTGAACTGATACTGCTCAGGAAGATCTCAAGCTGCACAGTTAAATAGTCAAGCAACGCTAGCAGAACAGAGGAGTGAAAAACATGCACGCACATCTAAAACAAGCAGTTGGTAAGTTTAGTTTTCTTATCCTAGTTTGTGAAGGCAAAACAAGCCAGACCTATCACACATTACACACTCAACACTGTTACAGATAGAGTATGCGTGCAATGTTTAACAGAAAGAAGTAGAGCTGAAACAAAATGTTCCTGTACTCTCACCTTTTAAAATGTCATGAAATCCATGAAGACTTGCAGCAATGTTTGTAAACACCAAGTTGTAATTTGCCCTAAGAAGTCCTTCTGGTTTTGTACCTAAGAGTACCATGTAGAAAGGAAAGAAAAAAAACCCCACAACAATAAGGTTTGACCATGAATATACTCATCTTTGAAAATAATCCAACTTCCACCTACTAGAAACATTTGCATGGAGTATGAAAATCACATTCATTCACTTAAATTTCCTCTTCAACGTCAAATGTATAAATACACCAGATTTTGCCAGGGTAGGCAGTTAAAAAGCTTCCAAGTTTCCTATATTTTATTCATATTTTACAAATATCAACTGTTTTGATCTCAAAAAGCAATTACGCACGCAGAAAGATTTATCATAGAGACACAGAACATCTGTGTTGCAAAAAGACCTTTAAAAGTCTTCTAGCCCCATGCTCCTGCCACGAGCAGGGACATTTTCAACTACATCAGGTTGTTCAGAGCCCCATCCAACCTGACCTTGAGTGTTTCCAGGGATGAGGCATCTACCACCTCTCTGGGCAACCTTCTCCAGAGATTCACGACCCTCATGGTAACAAATGTCTCCCTTCTATCTAGTCTACATCTACCCTCTTTTAGTTTAAAACCATTACTCCTCATCCTACTGCAACAGGCCCTGCGAAGAATTCTGTCCCCATCTTTTTCTTAAGCACCCTTCAGGTACTGGAAGGTGCTACAAGGTCTCCCCGGAGCCTTCTCTTCTCCAGGCTGAACACGCCCAACTCTCTCAGCCTGTCCCCATAACAGAGGGGCTCCAGCCCTCTGAGCATCTTCGTGGCCTCCTCTGGACTCGCTCCAACAGGATGATACCCTTCTTATGTTGAGGGCTCCAGAGCTGGATGCAGCACTCCAGGTGGGGTCTCACCAGAGCAGAGTAGAGGGGCAGAATCCCCTCCCTCGACCTGCTGGCCACACTTCTCTGGATACAGCCCAGGATACGGTTGGCTTTCTGGGCTGCCAGCGCACACGGCCGGCTCATGTCCAGCTTTTCATCCACCAGTACCCCCAAGTCCTTCTCCTCAGGGCTGCTCTCCATCCCTTCACCCCCCCCAGCCGGTACTGATACCTGGGGTTGCCCTGACCCGCGTGCAGCACCCTGCACTTGACCTTGCTGAACCTCATGAGGTTCAAACTTCAAGTTTTTCCAGGTCCCTCTGGATAGCATCCTATCCTTCAGGTGTGTCAAATGCACCACCTGGCATGGTGTCCTCTGCAAATTGCAGAGGTTCCACTCAATCCCACTGTGTCATTGATGAAGATAAACCGTGCTGGTCCCAACACAGATTTCTCCTACTTCTCTTTTCTGGCTGACATACCTGTAGAAGCATTTCTTACGATGCTTTGCATCCCTTGCCAAATTCAGTTCCAGCTGAGCCTTGACCTTCCTGACCCCATCCCTACACAACCAGGCAGCATCCCTGTCCTCTTCCCAAGATACCTGTCCCTCCTTCCACTGCCTGTGCATTTCCTCCTTACCCTTCAGTATGACCAGCAGGTCATGACTCATCCATGCCAGTCTCTTGCCTTCCTTTCCTGATTTCTTAGTGGGATTGAGAGCTCTTGCACTCTATGGAAAGTGTCCTTAAAAATCTGCCAGCCCTGTTCTCCTCCCTTGTCCCCAAGGGCAGTTTCCCAGGGGGTCCTATTGACTAACTCCTTGAAGATCTGCAAGTTTGCTTTCCTAAAAATCAGGGTCCTGACTTTACTCTTCACCTGGGACACATCCCTCAGGGCTGTGAACCCCAGCAGGGCATGATCACTGCATCCCAGGCTGCCTCCAGCCTTGACATCACCGATCAGCTCACTTGCGTCCGTGACCAACAGGGGCAGTAACACATCCCCTCTGGTAGGGCTGTCTATTACCTGGCTTAAGAAGTTATCCTCAGTGCATTCCAGGAGCCTCCTGGATTGCCTACAGCTCACCATCCTACTTTTCCAGCAGATGCTAGGTTAGTTGAAGTCCCACAGCAGGATGAGAGCCTGTGAGCACGATGCCTCCCATAGCAAGAAGGCTTTGTCAGCCTCCCGGCCTGGATAAAAGAGGGTCCAGTATGACAGAGCATACTACAGAATTCACTTGTCCCCTAGTTTTAGACTGTACGTAAAGAGTAGCGTTAAACTTGTTTTATTCTATCACAGAAGCGGCGTTTCTGCGTGCTGTTTAAAAAACAAAAAAATACCCCAAAATGTACAAACAAAAACACCTCAACACTGCTCCAAAAGGAAAACTAGTACCTTCCAGTCACAAAGTAACCAACTGAGCCAAAACTGGCACTTACTTGGTAACACAAGAAGACTAACGTACGTATGTAGCTTCTCAAAGACTGCAGTCAACCTTTTCATGTCTCTGTGGAGCTCCATGTTTCTAGCTCTTAAAGCAGCTGTGCAAAGAGAAGACTCACACTCTTCTTCCAAACTAGGAATATATGAATTATTTTTTTTTTAAAAGTGAGCAGATATCTTAAAAAAAGTTAACGAGTTTTGGAGCAGATAGTATTCTCTACATCCCCAGTTCAAAGCAACAATAGACTAGGAATTTATTTTATAAAGGTTAACATATCAAAATAATTTAGCAATACATGAAAATTGATGTGTGAATGTACTATCCTCCCTCTTAGGAGCCTCAGTTACAAGCCAGGAACAGTTTACACTCATAGAATGATGGTTTGGGTGGGAAGGGACCTTAAAGACCACCTAGTTCCAATCCCCCCACCATGGGCAGGGACACCTTCCACTAGACCAGGTTGCTCAAAGCCTCATCCAGCCTAGCCTTGAACACTTCCAGGGATGGGGCATCCACAACATCTCTGGGCAACCTGTTCCAGTGCCTCACCACCCTCTCCGTGATGAATTTCTTCCTGGTATCCAATCTAAGTCTCCTCACTTTCATGGCAAGGAACTGGCTGCATCAGTTTAAATACTTTTTTCTCTACTATGTATAATTTACCTTTTGCTTCCTAAGGAGCAGAAGAGGTACAAAGAGGACATAAACCAAGCTTTTTCTTCTTCCTTAATCCAAACCCTCTTTTTAGTCCTTTGCACTAATAATTCACCTCCCTTTGACCCACTTGGGAACAAAGATTTTCACTGCAGAAGGGATGTCCCGCTGGCCTGTTTTTCTACACTGCTATATTAACTGCATGATAAATCATCTTCAGACAGGCTCAAAAAATTAACAGTTTCAGCCTATCATACCTGAGTAGTATCTGTGCTACTGAATAACATTAAGAAACATTAAAAATCTATGCATCTTTAATAAAAAAGTCTAATCCATGAGGAAGAAGAGAAGGCTTCAAAATACATGATTTTAGAGGTAATGCCCAGGTGAAAAAAAAGCATACGTAACCTAAAGGCTCAAAAACCAGCAGGCAAAGAAAAATTTCTGCCTTGCAAGTCAAGGTGCTTTAAGAGTTGATTTAGTATCCGAGTTGTAGGTGTTGCCAATGCTGCATGTATGACACTTTAGTGCCCCTTTAGTTTGATCTATTAAACTAAAAATACCTTTTTAGTTGATAAGGAAGAATCTTTCTTAAAAAGCACAAGTATGAAGCTAAATGTTCTGAGAAGGTCTTCAACTGCACAGCTGTTTCCTGGAAGGAAAAACAACACATAAGGGTGGGGGTTTTGTTGGGGTTTTTTTGTGGTTTGTTGTTTTTTAGTTTGTTTTTTTGTCGTTAAAAACGGAGCAAAAAAAAAATCTTTTTCAGCAGAGAAAGTAGAAAACCTTACCAGGACTGTCACAGTGTCTTCCGTAATACTCTCGAACAAGTGGAGCATTCCTTCCTCCAGAGGGCGAACGTACGACGCGTTTTCATGGAGATACTGCGAGAACTGAGCGCAGAGAGACGTGAAAATGGTGCTTGCTGAAAGCCCTCGCACACTGTTTCAGGTTCACAATTGAACAGTCCCATTTACCACAGCACCCGTCATCTCAAGTGATGCCCAGGACGTTAACAAGAAGCTATAGCGCTCAAGTGACGTACAGCCACCTCCTCGGCAGGGCGCACACGCGCCTCGAGGGGAAGTGGGAAGTGAAGACTACAGCAGAAGTGCAGGCAAAACCCCAGCTCGGGCCTTGCCACAGCACCCCATCCATCGCCTTTAACTGCCATGCACAACACACCAAAGCCCTGCTGTTTGAGTATAAAACATTCTTGCCTTCTTCGCTCGACTCCACCAAATTAAGACTAGATCCACACATCCATTAACACCAAACAAACTATGCTACCTTTCTCCAGCTGTTCACCTAGCCGCCCTCGGCCTGCGTGTCGGCACAGACACACGTGCAGCCATGCTGCGCCAAGTACGGAGGAACTAAACCCAGCCAGAACGGAGGAGAGACGTACACTTTAATCTCTGTTTCCAGCCCAGTTTGCAACATGGGTCAAACCGCGCTTACGGTTAATGCAAAGGGTGGAGCAGTAACTAATTAAGGGAGAATTCCTACTTTCAGCTATGACACGTTTGGACCATTACGAATTTTCAGCATTACAGAACTGCCCAACTTCACTAAAACTACTGAAGTAAATGCTATGGCTAACTTCCCCAAAGCAAGTATTCCCAAGAACAGAGGTATTTACTCTTAAACACAATCAAATGTAACAGTACCATGAGCTTTCAGTTTTGATGCCACAGTGTTACAAAAAGCTTTTTCCACAGATTGGCATAGGCATTCAAACATGACCTTGTTTATTTTATCCCACAGATAGACACCTTCACCTTTGATTATTTATACCATAATAGTAGCTAAAGAACCCAGGCAAACAGGGTACAAGAAATTTTTTGTATTATTATGGTGCAGCAACACAGTGTTAAATGAGAAGAGAGAGATGCCAAGCTCTCATTCATGCATGCACAAATCTGGATGGAATTAGGGAAAATTCCTAAAGAAATAACACATGCAGAATGCTCCTGACTTGTGTTGCAAAAGAGAGGACTGGAGTTATCTGGCATGATGCTGAAGACCCAGCAGAACCCAGCAATCCAACACTTAAAGAGAAAAGGAATACTTGAACCTGGAAGGGAATTGTCCACATCTACTTTGAGTGTCTGGTGGGGAAAATAGCTCGAAAGCGCCAGACAAGACCTAGAGTTGGGGAAAAATAAATCAGTGCACATGTGCTAAGCCACTACCTGACACTTGTCTCATTCTCTACTACAGGAAGGGGAGGTTTTTGAATGATTCAGTGGAGGAGCAAGAACACTTGCCAAGCAGATAAATTAATCAAAAATACAGGAGCAAAAGCAGCTTCAGCAAGTGATAAAAGATGCTTCACTGCTGGAAAGTTACAGTAAAAGCCCTGAGAGGTGGCATGCACCAAGGCAATTAGGTCCTGAATGCACAATGGGGCAAAGAGACATAATTACAAAAACAAACAAAGCCTGAACTTCTGAATCAGAGTCAATTATCAGAAAAGGAGAATCAAAATACAGTTCTGATTAAGTTGCATGTTTCAGCTGTGTGAAAGCAATTCTCTGCTGAAAAGCAACAAAGAAGTGGTAACTAGGACATTAAAAAAAAAAAAATGTGTGAGAAGCGATGTCTAAGAAAGCTGATTTTACTCCCCTAGTGTGAACTGCAGTAGTGTCTGCAGAATCCAATCACCACGCTGGAGCATGAAACAAGGAGACACAGTTCCTGCCCCAAAGAATTTGGAAGACGACAAAGCCTCATGGTTTTTACAAGAAAGATGTGCCATTTTGAGCACGTTTGGTGGCAAGAGCAAGAAAATGTTGTTCTCAAACTAAGATCTATGCTGAACCTCTGTAAAAGTGTACTTTTGATTCAAACAGTTGAAACAACTGAGGTTAAATAGAGTGGGATTTCTTTAGTAGATAGACATCTTCACGAGCATATTTGTTGCCTGCAAAAAGACTAAAAGAGGTCCTCCTAAGAACAGGAAAGTTGTGTGAATCGTTAACACTGCCACCACGTGCATGGCAGCTATTTGATGAACACAAATCACATCCACCTCAGTAGCTTAAGTCTGAGCCCTACAAACCACTTAATTGCAATTATAGCCTGAATCAGAAATTACTGTCATCCAGCAACTTAACTGCACACAGATCCACTTGCACTATGAAGTCAGCAACTCTGATGTTAAAGCAGTTTTATTCCAGAGGACACACATGTGCATTGCCACGCAAACCCTTGTGCGCAAAGTTTTTTCCATGTTTCATGGCAGAGAAAATGTCAGGAGATGCAGCCTAATGGCTCTGAATGATACTCTCGGAAAAGCCCTACCATGGAGTTGTATGGAAAGAGCCAGGTCATGTTTCTCACAATATTTTCAACATGCTTTACAGACCTGAAGCTCCAGAACACTTACAGGAAAGGTCTTTACACAAGTAACCCAAAATCAGACTATGAAGTTGCTTTTTGACAAGAGAACAGAGCCCAAGTCCTCTCCTTCACAAGCCTTCCTTGTCCGCAGTTCACATCACGTTACAGCTAAACACTTCACCCACAAAACCTGTCTCAACATCTCCCACGCCCCAGTGCCTTAACGAAGATAATCACCTGCGCAGCCGTGCAATTTGTGTACGTTTGAAAAATAACGAGCTAAACTTGACAACTGCACTTTGATTTAGCACTTAAGTTTTGATTTGACTCTCGTCCTGTTCTCGCAGCAGGGCACATTCAGGGAACTGGCCCAATAAGAAAGACCTCTCATGCAGGAGAGGCTGCCTCCCAGGAACACGCTCGCAGCATTCCAGTAAAAAAGGCAGCAGAAGTTTGCATGAAAGATAACCCACTCATAAAAGTCTATGTAATTGCATATACTTATAGCTGAAATTAGTAAGCTTTACCTTCTGATTCAACGGTGATATAGTGTCCGTTGCAGAATCAACGGGAAAAATCTGTACCTTCTGCTCGGTGTACGTGTGGAAGTTCAAAAGGGCTGTTACAAGTTCTTGAACAAAAGCAAGCGCCTGGCCAGCAAGGTCTCGCAACTTCAGCTGTCAACACAGTTATAAAATTATTATATTGGATACGTAACTATTTAAATACCAGAAAAATTCTATGGCTGGACACAAAAAATTACTATCAGTTATTTCTTTCTTGTTACTAGCTCAGCTTAATACATGGCAGCAATCTAACTTCATTTCTAAAGCTTATGAATAAACTACAACGTCACTCAGAGAGGCACATTTTTCCTACGATGACCAAGTAGGTTTCTATTTCATTCAACAGATGATGCTTTGCCTTTGCTGCATTCCTCCAGCTACAGGCCACAAGAACACTAAAGAGGTCAGTAGTACAATTACCCAAACAATCTTCCAAATTAAGATTTGTAAAGACCAATTGAATAACTGCTGACAACAGCTCAGTTTTCCCAGTGTGGCGATAGAAATTAACACCTGGTTCTATGAAAATCCAACTATAATTAGTAAAACCCAATTAGGTTTCTACCTGAATACAAGGTGTCTGCTTCTCCAACCAGTAACACTCAATTCTTATTCTCCCACCTGGACAGAACTGAGCTGCTGTTTATGAATAACCCTGTTCTGTGGCTTTAGTAAATTATGGAGGGATCCAAGAAATTATTCCAAAATGAAACAGTCTGAAAAAGCAAAGGCAGAGATGAAAACCACATTCTGTTGTGATTTATGCAGGAGAGAATAAGGTTAGAGTGACATTTCAGCCAAGAACGGCTTCTCCTTCAGAGATGCATTCCTAATGCTTCACTGAAGTGTTAAATCAAGTGAATCTTGATTATGGACCAGGGATGGTGGTAAGTAATTAATGCAGTCGTACACAGTTTGTGTATGTTAATTAGCTACGCAAGGAAGGAAAACAGACACTATCACTGTTTTGCTGTCCTTTACACTGCAGCCTGTGCAGCATTTTGCCTCCACTGGCAAAGCCAGTCAAAAATCTGTCCTGGAAAATTTTCAAGACTGCAGATCTCGAAGGACAAAGCTGGCTGACACAGTGCTAGCAGAAGACAGTAAAGGGAGAAGCTCTCCAGGTAGTCATTTAGATTTTTCTTAGTACTCAGCAACAGGCTGATTAAAGGCTACTTCCACCACAAAACTGGACAGCAGGTCACCTGTTCTCACAGCAGATTTCTGAAGAGACCTTTTCCTAACAGGCTCTTCTGAAGAATGGAGAAAACAACTACTTGAAATTTTCCTACAGTGGCATCTTGAATGCATCAACTTCAGGGTTCAAGACACATGCAAACAAAAAAACACACACAAAAAAACCCCACTGAATGCTGTGCAGCCCATCCTCAGTTGAAGCAAACCAGGAAAATACTGACTGCATCATGGTATCTGATTTACTACTGTAAAAATCCTTGAACTATTTAGCCATTCACAGAAAACTAATACTCATTTTTTAATAATGAGTAAACCACATTCCTAAGGAAAGTGATGAAAATTACAGTAATGAACAGAAACTGTTTCTTTTTGTTAATGATATTTAAATTAGTAACGGTGATCTAGCTGCAAGTAAGAGGTTTTGGCAAGAAGTATCCCATGAAACGTAGGTGTACCATGCAGTGTTCTCCAAGAGGCTAGTCATGATCCTTTTAAGGAATATATCATGTAACAAGTAATATTAACTAATACAGTACTCTAGCATACACACCAGCACACAGTTTACAAATGCAACATTCTTTGTGGCTTAAGTGATGTGACCAAAGGTCAGTTCAAGGGAAAAGGAATTGAAGATACCAAAACTACAGGGTTTTTGTTGTTTTGTTTGGGTTTTTTTCCCAACAAAAAGCTTAAGACCTCTAGACTAATTCAGTTTTAACCAACTTTAAAAACGAAATGCTAAAGTTTTAACTTTCTGCAGGTTTGCATAGTAAGAGAATATTTTGTATAACTTTAATAAGAGACAAACATTACACCTTTTTGCCATTTTTTCTCAGAAGGCATGCCTCAGTTAATAGCTACAGTGATCATCAGGCAGCAGTCAACAGATTAGCTCCGATGAAGTGAGGTGAGCAGGCAACTTTACTCCTCAACATAAGAGCGGTACAGACTACCTTTTGCAAAGCACAGAGGCTCTGTGGATAGAAATTCCCTTGGAATATCATGATGGTAGTAAGACAGGCTATCTTCTGCCATTTCAGATCACTAAGATTTATTCAGTATCCGTGCAGAAAACTGCATCTTGACATAAGAACCACAAAAAAGTGCTCACCTGATATCTTCTGTTGTGTAACGGTACATTCAGGGCATTGTATCGATTAGATCCTACAGAACAAAAATAGAGTATATGCACTTATTAAATCATAGGGGTTTTGAGAGAGACTTATTGGTAAATAATTATTTTTAAATGTAACATTTAATTACAGTAATATTACAGTTCATGTAAGTAATATTAACTAAAAAGATAAAAACAATGGGCTTCAATAAAGTAGGCCTAAACATCCTCACTTAAGAGCTGTTACTGTGACTAGATGGAGAGAAAGCACTGCCCTCCTTGCCTCAGATTGTAAATCAAATGTAACCATCTGAACACCCCGAATTTGACAGGTGAGAGCAGAATCCTCCTGCCCCAGAAAAACAAAGCAGTACTCATCACTAACAAGAGTGAAATTAAAAAAAAAAAAAACAACCAACTTAAAGAATTCAAGATGATCTTCAAATTTAAATTACATTCCAGGGACTGTCAAAATAAGATGAGTGTATGTTTTAATGGTTTGCACATTTAAAAAGAAAAGCTCCTGTATGTACTCGATTTGTTGATAATCTGGAGTAAGATGTATTCTCCACATATTTCACCATTCTGTTCCAGTTAGAGAAACTCAAATGATTATTCAGTTGCAAGTGGACACAATTTTTGAAGAGGCAGAGGGATATTTGTACCTAGAGAACAGCTTACAAAGCCTTATAGATTAAAAAGGGATCACAACCCATGTCAATTAAACAGAATAACAACCTCTTCAGTTTAAAATTTGCACGCAAAGGAAATTTACAGCTTCTTAACTCTTTTTGTATCATTCACATTTGGTAACTAACACATGGGAAGAGGCAGTTGTATTCAGAATAAAAAACTGTCCAAAATCCCCAAATCCATCTCCTAAGGAAATGCCTCAGAAACCTTTGTTACCTTTCTACTCTCAAAATCACGCTTAGCAGTCAACAAGCCATTTGACTGTCACCAAAAATGAAGCGAGCTGCCAGTTAGACTTACAACCAACCACAGAGCCTATAGCAGGACAGTTGGAATCCGGAGCAGACTAACTTCCTTCCCACCTTTCTCTCATTCTTTTCTCACTGAAAATCTGTCCTGTATTTGCAGTGTTTTCTACATAAACAAAAACATTCTGCTGTGGCAGCTGAGTGAGCAGATAAACAAGTTATATGCATCTAAGTTCTCGCTACAATGATAACCACCTGTAAAAACAAGCAGCTAAAGATGACAGAGAAGTAGAAATGGGCAGCAGATGCCAGGCAAAGTGATCTTTGTGAGAGGAAATAAGGGAAGAGGGTCTCAAGACACCAACGCCTACGTACAACATGTTGTACGAGAGTCAACATTTCCTAAAGAGAACATGACCTGGTGTTTGTAAGCCAAGACTCACTGGATTGCCAACCCAGTGAAGAATTTGGAAGGCTTATCCCTGCAGCACCCTGCCAGAACAGTTTTTAGAGAAGCTAAGGCTATTCAAAACATAGCCATCAAGTTTTAAACTGAGTGAAAACTGCAAAAGCTACCAATAAAACCTACCGGTCATCCAACAGCCTGTTTTCACTTCTCTGCTCCTTCTCCACTACTTTCAACTTTTTCACTATTCCAAGTTCTCCTACTCTCACTGCCAGAAGAGCACAGACTTCTGCCTGCCCAAGTACAAGCTCATGCTCAAGCTATTTACAAAAGCACCCAGCACTGATCTGGCACATACTAACTGATTCTTGTACCAAAGCAATGCAAAGGCTGAGCACTCCTAACTTCATGGCACCCGCCGCACTTCAGTTTATCTAGTAGTAAGTGGAAAGGAAGCAGAAAAAAAATGTTGCTTCAGGTAACCCATCACTGTAACTCTGGAATATACCCTGCCAAAAATACTCTGAGACAAGTAACTAAAGAAAACTTTGTTGAGAAACCACTAAGTGGACAGCATTCCTTCATCTTTTACAATATTTGGTCAACATTAAGCAAGACAAGTGACAAATTACTCAAAAGCCTTCAAAAGTTGTAATTTTCATTAGAGATACATATAAAAAAAAGAAAAACTTGATATTTTAAGATCCCTGAACAAGAACATGACAAGATCTGTCATGAATGCTTATTACAATTACCTCCAAGTGTTTGTTAGATGCCCAACATTTCTCACAGTAACACATTTTTATTCCTAAGGGACACTTCCTCCAGTTGGACCCAAAATTAAACAAGACACCCAGATCAAGGCAATACGTACTTGTGTCATTAAAAGGTACTTTTTCCCTGATTATGCACAGAGATTCTTCCAGTCTACTGCCCAGAGCTGCTTGTAGACTCTTTAACTGTTGCTGGCTAAATAACAAAAAGACAAATTTAAAACCACACAGAGACATTGTAAATCTTTACATTTAATCTGTATCACCACTACTGTAGCTCACCATAAACATCCCTTCAGTGTACAGGTATCTATCTCTTTCTAGAAGATAGAAATAAGACAACAGGAATTATTTTTCCTCCCTTATGTTGTATTTAATAATGGCATGGTATTTCAAGCCCTAACAAATACAGTGGAAGATGTAATAAATTGTAAATCTTAAGTTCCATTCTTGGGAAGCACAACTTACTTCAGAGTTAATCTTGACATTGTTTTCCAATTCTGCAATTATTGTATATGCTATGTGAAAGTTATTGTCTACTGGAATTTGAATGGGAATGCAAAAGGGCCTTCAAGTGAGTAACTGCATATCCGATGGGGTATTCCAATAGGCAAGCAGCGAGTTGTTAATTCAGTTAACGATGTCACATCCCTATTAGAAATACCTCGTGAGCTTTTCAAAGCTCCGTATTTAAACACTGCTATGATACGGCCTGTTCCCACAAGACTTGGCAGCTATGTTTCTGATCCATGCCCAAGTGATCTTTCTCTAGATCTGCTTCATTAGCATTTGATTGTGTATATAGACGTAAGCTTAAGTTGTCATTACCAATATCATTAGTATAAATTATTGAGATGGACAGTAACATATTCCAGCATTATATACCCATCTCAAAGATTACTGCGGATTGATTCAGACCAAATTCCAAGCCTTACCCAACTTAGGCCCTCAAATTCTTCACTGTTTTGCCTCCCGTTTGACATCTAGAACTCCTGCACATATAGTGGAGGGTGGGGTGGAAGGTGTCAAAGTGACATTTTTTTTTTCCTTTTTTACAAAAACATTTGACACGTGTAAATTCATCAGGACTAACAAAGAAAAAGAATCCAAAACAGACAAGCAAGATATGAAGAAACTGGCCAGTAAGTAGCTCATGCACATTAACAAACATTTTCCTTGAAGAGCAGCTCCAAAGTTGCACGGAAATTATGCAGCATGAACCACAGTAGCACTGGGTATGACAGAAAATAAACTCAAATTCCAAGGGTACAGATGTTTCTTTTTTGTACTATAAGGAGTGGCAAACAAGTAGCTTGAAATGTTTTGGTTTACATCCTCCCCTTTAATTTTCAAGGCATGCAGGCTGTCAAGTCTCATATCCCCTGGTTTTCCTGAATAAAGTGTGTCAGAGGCAAAGCGATCCCTTTCCCTGAAAGAGTGGGTAACACAGAAGAGCAGTACTCTCAAAAGACATCTTCTGCATTTGTTCATTAGATACCTATTTCCATGTTCAAAATAAGGAAGTGTCAGGCTCCATTATTTTTAAAAATCCTCCCTTCTAAAATGGAAGGGACAATTTCTTACAGGGACATTAATTACCCAGCCATCACAGAATAACGACAGACAAGCTCTGAACTGAACAGTAGCAGGTTAAGACTACACTGTTTTTCAAGCACCACAAAAAAGCAAACAGCAGCAAAACACGGCTTTCATCCTCTTTTGCGAGTCATTCTTAGGAAAACCCTGACTTGTATTAGAGAAAAGAGTTACTGGAATTCAAGTGTCTTCACATCTATCATAATAATTCAAATGGTAACCTTCAAGTGTATATTTGAAAGGAGGAACTCTTCATCTGATCACTCACTATGCAGTTTATACATTACATTAAAGATCTATACTGCACAAAGACCTTTAAAAGATTCACATTAACAATGGACTTCAGAGAAGTTCATTGACTCGGCTCACAGTGCTCAGCTTCTTCCTATTTTCCACAACTTGTCTTGAAGACAAAGGTGTTCCAAAACTAATAAACTCCTTCAACAAAAACTTAAGTATTCTAGCTGGGTGTGCTATACCTGAAGAAAAAGCAATTGTTCAAACAGCTTTTGGTGTGGAGGGGATTTTTGAATCTCTCTTCAGTCAATTGTCTCAGCACACCTTACCCAAGCTTTGTTTTTAGAAGCAGTTTGTAAGAACTCACAGTTGTTACATACAAGTTCAGCAGTTCCTTTACTTTTTATAGCATTCCGTTACAAAGAGATTCTTCAAGCTTTCATCAGCTTCACAGCTACTTATACCAGCTTGGCGACAAAACTGCTCTTACTAAAACTCGAATCTGTGGAATTGATTGTCTAGTTACATGCTCGGAAGCAACAGGTGTTTGACCTGCGCACAGTCTTAATGTTAATGTGCTGTTGCCCAGTATTTTATCAGAATTTTGGAGGTTTTTTTAAGGTATTATTGTCTAAACATAATCCAGTTCATCTTTTACAGCAGTTATTTTTTTAAATCATGCTTGCATTATATGAAAGAAAAACACTCACCATTCTTCGGTTCGAAGCCTACAGTCCTTAGCTTCTCTTTCTAGTGTCTGAGACTTGATCTTTATGCAAGAAGATAATCTCACAATGTAAGTACTGACACAGCAAGACATTTCATTTCAAAACTTTTCAAACTTGCAAGTAAGAAAAACTCCTTACTTCTAAGCTGGCTTTATCATTCTGCAGCTTTTCTATGGCATCTGTGTACTTCCTCGTTAAACTGTCCACCACAGCTTGATGCTGGGCAGCATCAGTTTCCAAAACCTCAAGTTTCGTTCTCAGCTCCGCTTCTAAACGTTTGTGCTGCTCATCTGCTTCGAAGAACTAAAAGAAGAAACCAGAGCTCCTATGAAAGCTTTGTTTTACTACGGAAGCTAGCCCTATGAGTTACACCAATTTAATTAGCCAGTCCAAGCTAATAACAAGTACCAGTCCTCAGACAATTAGAAATTTTATGATGATATTTACAGAGAAAATATTTACTCCTAAAAGTACTCTATGCTTACAAGAGTTTCGTAGTACCACGCATTCCTTAAATACATCGCTGATTAATAGCGGACACCTGAAGAGTTAAACTTGAGCCACAAGGTTTTTATCAAGTTTTCTAAACCAAAGTGAAATACATTCCATTTCCGTAAGGTAATTCCTGACTTAATTATGGCGACTTGCAGAAAATATTTTAAGCTTTAAGGCAATTCTGAAATGACCGGTGAACTAAAACGATGTTTCTACCCAGGACCAACTACATCGCAATTTGCAGTCACTAAGTGTCACCGAAAGTTAAATCTAAATGAGAAAACACATGTATTCTGCGAGCTATTCCACATACTTTAAGAATCTGAAGTCAAAATACCTTCTCATTCGCACAGTGAACATCTTTATAAACAAGCTATCCAATCTAATCTACTGTTTTGCATACAAGCAAGTTCCTAAACCCATTTGTTTTCAGATGCCATTTTATTTTCTCTCTCTGCGTGACCAGTTTTCTGAACTAAAAAGAAAGGCTGAAGAAATGTTACTCACAAGTATATGCAGTCGTTCATTCTCTTCTATCTTCTTCTGAAGATCTTCATTGAAGACACTTTTCTGCTCTTGACTCAACTGAGATGAGGATTCTGCACTTTTCTGAAAGAAAGAAAATGCATTCACTACCTCCAAGCCTCTGGGGCTATCCCAAAGCCCATCCCCAAGTATCTGAAAACACTTCCCTTTGCTAATTCCCAGAGGCACATGAGGGTGCATGTATACTCTTACACTGACTCATAGATCAGAAGGCACACGTACTGCACGCAGCATGAGCCCAAAAGCAGCACTTTCCTTCCCGCTGTTGTTACAGGACAGTGGTAGAAAGCGGATTCGGTAGGGACTCAGGAAAGCCTCCACTCAGGCACCACGTTCACACACACATGGAATTGCTGCTAAGGGCAGGGGCCCACCTGACATCGTGTGATCCTTGCACAATTCCAAGCAGTGAGGAATACGAAACCCTACACACAGAGGCTTATCTGGTTCGGAAGCTGCGTGTAAGGCACATATTGCCCCACCAGTGTGCAGGTGTAAGCTGGTCTGGTCTCAGCAGGGACCAGGAATAACCACTATCCCACAGCAGGCTGTAGCACAAGGTGGCACTGGAAAACACAGGCTCTCCACTGTCAATACAGACACCTCTCTGCCAACGGTTTCCTCAGTTTTCGCCCATTTTGTCCAAAAGACTCAGAGACCACCAGTGAATCCCAGACCGCTTCTCTGCTCAGCCACACTGCTGAAAAGTTAGTACCATCACCGAACAAAAGGGAGACTGTTCACATTTACCTTAACACCAAACCCCAAGTGCTTGGGACAGCTAAGCCTCCTCTGCATTTGATGTCCGTCTATGAACTACAACACCCCAGATATGGCCATGTTCTTCTGCAGTCTGACACAGATCATCCATCCAAATATTAAGCTAAACAGTTTGAGATGTGATTTATGTGGTCTCCCAATAGCAAATCTCTGAAGTAGAGGTCACATGGAATTTAGTAGGGGTAGGTTCAATACAATCATGGAATCACAGAATGGTTTGGTCTGGAAGGGACCTCACAGACCATCCAGTTCCAACTCCCCCGTCATGGGCAGGGACACTTTCCACTAGATCAGGTTGCTCAAAGCCACGTCCATGCTCATTGTACATGCTCAGTGAGGCCCTACAGGTAAAACTAAAGGGAAGGTATTTAAGAGGTAGCACAAACACCACTTTAACTAAAATATACACAAAACAAGACGCAGAACTGTGCATTCTGACAGCTGAACACGAAAGGAAGTCAGTGGCAAACATGTGCAAAGCTACTCAAGCCAGGCTGAGATCCTTCAGTATTTGGAAACACATTATGTAACTTACCGCTTCACTAGACATGAAATAAGAGAACAGAAGGGTCAAACTGCATTTTGAAAAAACAATCTACTATGGTGCATGAATAATGTAAGTCAGAGGCACTATGCTTGTCAAGGAACTGGATAGCAAAAACACACACAAGAGTTTAGGGGGAAAAGTAAGGAAGATAATCCAACTGATGAGTACCATGATCATTTCTTTAATGTCAGTCTTGATCGCTACAGCGTTTTGTGAGCTAAGTGTAAAGAAAAGATGACAGTAACGAAGAGGGGTTTCCTCATAAGAGAAAGATGGCAAAGGATGCTTGAGAAACATTTAAATCCAGATGCACCACCACTGGAATTCTGATGTTACCTACGGAAGACATAGCTGATCTTTGACAGAAGACAGTATACCCAGGTCTATCAGTAAGCGTTTCAGCAGAGATCTCTCCATACTGAAATTATACTGACATTTTGAAATAGCATAAGGACTACTAGCCAAAAACTTAGATTTCAATGCATTTGACTTGATTCATGTAAGAGTTAACTATAAAAGCTACAATCACAAGCTGAAGAGGAAACCAGCAACATCAAAACTATAAGCAAATTAAAAAAGCAAGGAGGTGGGGACAGGAAATGAGGAATGATCAGTTTTCTTTATAGCAGCAGGTTAATTACAGAGCTCCAAGATCTTTCCCAGCTGTTTGAATGCTTAATAAGTATCTGGGAAAGGGAGGCAGGAATTCAGTATCAGATAGCGATGCACAGAAAGACAAGTACAGAACCACTTAGCACATAATGTGTGTATCAACACGCATTTTGCGGGTATTTTCACTAACAACAGTTAATAACACAAGTGCTGACAACAACATTCAGCTCAACCCCTGACACAAAGCAACTACTGCTAGAAATCAGGATAAGATATTGACAGGTGAGGAGCAGACGCCTGCTAAGCAAGGGGTTCTGCCCTTAGCACACACCTTGCTCTTCTTGCCCCTGGCTTCACTTAAGGCAAGTTCGTCTTGAAGTAACTCCACCCGCTTGGCAAGTTGCTGATTTCGAAAGGTCAAGCTGTCCATCTCTTGTTGCAGTTTTCTCAGTGATTGATCCTTCATCTTCAATTGTTCCTGAATGAACAAAAAGATTTAAAATTAAGTTTTCACACACTTAAAGTGAAGAATTTTTAAATGTATTTATGATACTACTTGAACACTGAAGAGGCCAAAAGCATTGCTTTTAAACTAAAAAGCAGACTTGATTTCCTTCAGCTGCCTACAGTTCAGCTCAGACTCAAGCAGGTATTTCATTCTACAAATTAATCATCAAGAAGTAACCTCTACTTTTACAAAGTCAGCACCTACAGAGGACAGCCAAGAGTAGTTGCAGAACAGAAGTTTTTACTAATCAAATTCCTTCTTTATTCTTTCAGTCACAATACTCTGTGTAAAAAGTATTCACCCTTCCCATTCACCTATTTTCTCATAGCTTAATACATCTGACATGAGCAATGTTTAGAGATTACCTTCAGAGAAGCAGAGTTGGCTTGCTCATCTACCACCCCTTTTTTCAGTACTTGGTTCTGAGCTCGAAGCTGAAAAATAGAAGACAATTCACTATGCAAGACAAAGCAATAAATAAAAGCTATTCATTAGAATGCGCATAAAACATCACATCCTCTCATGAGAGCACCAGATGCGCATGCTTTTTGAAGTATTCTGTTCGGGTAGACAGCAGTGGTATCAGTCTGCAAAATACCCAATTCATATCCTGAACTGCCAAGAAAAAAAACTATTTTACCGTCTGAATGTTTTGGTCAAATAGAGCATAATTCTTACTCAGCAAGTATCTTGGAAGAGTAGTTACTTAAATATAGTTAAGGTTTGAAGAACAAGTATGGAAAAGGGGCAGCTTCTTCCTTAACTAATCAAGTTTTGCTTATATTCAGCGCTATTTCAATCTCTCTTCTCCCCAAAACCGTTCACGACTGATTCTGCAGCATAAGCAGAGCTCACAATAAAGTCAAAATCTGTATCAATTCACGAAGAGCTTAACTATACTCTAATGCAAAAATACATATTAGTGGTAGCAGCAGATGATCCAGAGAGAACAGCTTGACAAACACTTCAGGAAAACGCCTAAAAAGCATAGAAGAAAAAGCCCTCTAAGGCTTACTTCTCTAGTTCACAATCTGAGCTAAAATCACTGTGGTGAAAAGCGATACTCGAGAAATCTATTTCCCAGTCACTTCAGAGTACCTCTACCCTGCAGCAATGAGGATATGGACAGTTCCATCTTCCTACTCCTTGAAATTTGCTTGAATCCTGGTTTCTTCAACGGCAGTTTGTATTCATTTGACATGTTTGAGTCCAGCTGTTGCAGACATAAGTTAAAAGGATTTATATAGTGCTTGGGAATACCTCTGGCAGATGCATAAAAGGCAAGATTGAATGCAAAACAGCAATGGCTCATCTTTTCAGTCTGCTGACTGAATATATTGGAAAGGTCAGAAGCCAGTTGACATTGCCAAGCACAGGCTTTTACCCTGCAGTATTCCCACCGCGCTGCTCAGGCATCACAAAGTCAAGAGAAGAAACTTGTAAGAGCACCACAGAAACACCTCCCAGCACAGGGTGTCCCAAGCAATGAAAAGCAGCGCAGCAGTTTTCAAAGTCCTTTTTTTTTCTGCCACAGCTACTAATGCAGGAACGTGTCAGGTGCAACGATAAAATGAACCATGAACTAGCTCAACCATGCTGCACTGAGATGCCTAAGCTGAAGTGTGATCCACCAGAGGCTGGCACAAGTTGAAAGAGCCTTTTGACTCCAACTTCCATCAGGGTTGTGTGAAAGAGCCAGAAGCTGCAATTCAAGGGGAAGAGAAGACTCTGAAAACACACACCCTTTTTCTGGACTGGTCTGTGAACCAAGGGGGAACGGCAAGTACTTCCCTTGGCACTTCTTGAGTCCATCAAGCTCTTGTCTACCTCTCTTCCAGACTTCCACAACACGGTGAAGTGAACAGGCAAATAGCTTCCCAGGGCTATTCTCTGTTTCCACCTGCACACAACAAACAGCCAATTGAACAACTGCTCGTTCGCATAAAAAGCAGAGTTATCTGCAAAGGGGATCCCACGATGTCCTGGAGTTGCTGCACAATAAACAGGATGAGACCAAAAAAAAAATAGTTCCTGCGAAGAACCAATGAACCATCACAGACTGAAAGGTACAAGATGAAGGTCAAAGAAAGCTTTTGGATACCATGGCACTAACAGAAAGAGGATCCAGTAGCTAGGAAGTTATAGTCAAAAGGTCCACATTGCAAAGTTTCATTCAGGAACCAAGCAGCAAAGTCCCTCAATTACCTTAACCTGATCCATTCTTAATCTCCAAGATACAGCAGAGCCACTGTAGAAAGCAACAAGAGATATGAACTCATATTCATGAGAGGAAACACCCAAAGAGAATTCAGTTTTCTTAAAATGATCCTGTGGAAGCATTAAATATATACATAGATGTAAACAATTTAGAATCTCTATGTTTTTTAATAGCAGTTCCAAGTAGAATAGTATGCAAAGACACCTCGTTCTATAACCTAGGGAAAGGTGTCACATACAGTCAAGCACCTTGAGCCAAACACGATGGGCTGGGCTACGTGAATGCTGAGCGCTGGCTTTCTTTCCCAAGGCCGTTGAAGACCAACTCTCTCCTCTTCCTTTTAGTAAAGAAAAAAACCTCAGTATTAAGCCAGGCTCCATCTCAGGCACCTTGGAAAGGATAAGCATTCTCCGCCATGGGCCAGAAGTCTCTGCAAATACTCCCTTAGCACCAGAAATGGTAGGCAAGTATCTCAGGGCAGCTGAAGAAGAACGGGAACAGACATCAGGCAAGCGTGGAACCAAGTGTCTTCACCTCCAATACGCTGCACCACCACCGCAAGCACTGCCACCTCCACTGAACTCCCACGTCCACCAGGCAGAACCAACCCAGGGTCTAAGGGCAAGATGCAAGACTGGGACCTCAGCAAGTGCTCACACCCAGAGAGATAACTAAGCCTCACGGCTGACTGAGGAGTGGAGAAGCAAGGGAAACCACAGCCAGTTGCACTGTGAACCCACTGCTTGTCCCGCTGGATGCTTTGCTGACAAGGCCACTTCCCTCCACTCGACAACTCGCCCAGCCAGCGCTCGGCAACACGGCGCTCCCTCGGCACCCGCACACGCGCCCCTGCCCCCTGCCCAAGTCTGTTTCCACCTCCAACGAAAGTAACCTCTGGGCCTCGAACGCTCGGAGCGCCGAAGGCGGCCAAGCCGGGCGGG